AAATACTTATTACTATACTTTACATATCACTTATCATTACACTTTACTATCACTGCAACTCAAATTACTATTACTATACTTTACATATCACTTATCACTATACTTACCGCTGCAATCAAATACTTATTACTATACTTTACATATCACTTATCACTATACTTTACTTATCACTGCAATCAAATACTTATTACTATACTTTACATATCACTTATCACTATACTTTACTTATCACTGTAATCAAATACTAACTGGAAATGATTTCAAAAATCGTAGTCTTCGACAATATCTTGGATCAATAAATGTTGGTGATGGAATAGAAACTTGTAAATTCCATGGTACCATTCCAATTTCTTTGATACGTTTGAGTAGGATTGCTGCGCATGTTTGGCATTCCAATGTTCGACATGCGAATATTTCCGCATTCTATATATAAATATTAACTTATCTTTCACTTAATATAAAATCATTTTATAAGTTAATGAAAAAAAAAAAATGTAACAAAATTAAAAAAATAAAAAACAAATTTAATTCGGTATACCTAAATGTATTATAAAAGAATAATTAATTTATTTCTTTATTAAGTACTAATAAATTTGAAAAAAAAAAAGAAAAATATTACTTAAAAATTCTTACAAAAAATCTTTGTTATTTCTATATGAAATATTCTGAAATATTGGAATAAAATATTGTAATGGAATTAATTATCTAAATACTACAATATGCTATTGCTACAAATGAATGTATTATAGGTTGGCACAAAAAATAATTGCATTTTCAGAATGTAAATGTAAATGTCAAATTATTATGAGTAATTTAGTTTAAACTTATTGTTATCAATTAAAATTAAGTTTTTTTTTTATAAATTTTTGTAGCATAAAAATTTATGAACTAATGGAGAAAATATTTTTGGCATTTATTGATTATGCAAATATTTTCCTACAAATGATTGTAATGATGATTGAAAGTAATCAATCAATCAATCAACTAATCGATTGACGAGAAATCAAAGGAATTCTTTTTTTTTTGTAATGAGATTCATTCGCCAATTTGATTTTTATGCTGAACCTTGATCATGAGTCTTGATCTTAATTCATTTATCCTAAGCCTTGATCAATTGACCTTTTTGTTAACTGATACAGGTTGTAGATATTGCAATTGTTGGTACATTCCCAGATTCTTGGCATATTTCTCAGATACATTCTCAGATTCTTGGCATTCAAACACATTCCCAGATTCTTGGCATATTTCTCAGATACATTCCCAGATTCTTGGCATATTTCTCAGATACATTCTCAGATTCTTGGCATATTTCTCAGATACATTCTCAGATTCTTGGCATTCAAACACATTCTCAGATTCTTGACATATTTCTCCGATACATTCTCAGATTCTTGGCATATTTCTCAGATACATTCTCAGATTCTTGACATATTTCTCCGATACATTCTCAGATTCTTGGCATATTTCTCAGATACATTCTCAGATTCTTG